AGAACACACTTTTCAATCCTTTGAAAATTGTGCCATAAATGCTAAGAGTAAGCATAAAGAAAATGTCTGTACAGTAGATGCATATAAACACTAATTTGCCAAAAGATTTTAACATATTAGCAAATAGAAAATGTTTCCTTAATAATAAAAATTAAAATATTTTAACATTATTTGAAAATATTTTAAGGCTGAAATAAATGTACATTTTTCTTAAAATGCGGAAAACAATTCTAATTTCCAGGTTTAAAGATTATTTTTTGATGACAATGGAACTGATATTTTAATATACAAATATATTTGAGACTTTAAAATGATTTTTTTAAATTTTCCTTATAATTGTATAAATTCTACATGAATTATAACCTGGTTAAATTCCTCTAGAGCAACCAAAAGATAACTGGGTTTTAGACTTCCTAAAATATCCAGTGGATTCAGTAGACTTCTCACAGGAGGTTCTTTAACTCTCTAAGATTAAAATTCATTCTGCCTCCTAACTGAAAACAGAGACACTTTAAAAAGTGAGACTTACAAATGGGACAGATGGGGAGGAGGGTCCTGACCAGTTTAGATTGAAAATTACAATCTAAACTATACTTGGAGATACAATAAGAGATGTTCTAATACCTATAAAAAACATGAATTATGGTAAGAGTGCATTGCTTGGTGTTCCAAATTGCAAAGAATCTGATGTTTCTATATAGATCCAATGAGTTATCTACAAACTAGAGGCAGATCCTTGTAATTTCCCCACAGTTGGTGGTGCAAGAATCCAGTGAACTATAAACTAGCATTGACTATACTGGTCACTACCAAAAGATTACTAAATGTGTATGTATACACAGTATAAATGGTTTTACTGTGTATTTTAAGGAGAGTTAAAATCCTGAAATAATTCCAATGAGATAATTTGAATGCAACTGTATTGTTTAACAAGCATTGGTTGTTAAAATTTTTATTTTTTCAGTATTTTTATTTTAGAGATACCTTATCCTCTTTTCTGATTAATTTTCACTTACTTTTCCAATCTTTAGCATTAAGTTTCTTGACTGGCCCTTTTCCCTTCATTACCTGCGTGTCAATAAAAAATCTATAAAATATTTAATAACATTTAGGAGAGCTCCTTATTTCCAGGAATTTTTAGGTGCATCCCTAGAAATAAGGGGGATTTTAATAATTCAGGTGAATTTCAGACACATTCTCTAATTTTTTTATAACTCTGGAGATTCTGTTTCTTTATCTGTAAAATAAGCAAAATACTTGAGCCTTTCCCAGAGTGGAGGATAGGATAAATAAATAAATATTTACAAAGAGTTCACTTTAGAGACCCTAAAAAATGTGGTCACAGGTTTTGTTTTTTTTATTCCAAGGAAAATGGTTTTGGTTTTTTTTTTTTTTCCAAAGCAAATAGTTCATTTGTTTTAAAAGTTCACATTTCTTTTCTGCCTTCCTTATTTTGTTTTTCTTTGGAAGGGTAGTACATAGTGGTGGAATCTTCTTCCAAGATGATATGCAGTTAAAAAATAAAAATAAAAAAAGCTGGAGAAAAATAAATGAGTTCAAGAAATATTCTATCTGCTTTCTGCAGGCAGATTCCAGGTAAATTTATTTTGGCAAAGGCAGCATAATCTAAGGGGACTCAGATTCTGTGGCTATGGTTGAAGCTAGTGAAAATAATGACTCAGCAGTGCACAGAGAAATAGCAAAGAAGTTCCTATATTCCAGTCTGGCTTAATCAGTTCAGGACAACTCCATTGTATAGTTCCAGGCCCAAATGCAGAAATGTTCCATGCGAGCTTGTCAATGGCCTTATGGTGAAATGAATCAACTTTAGGATAACAAATACATACGGACCCACAAAAATGAGTATATCCTTTGGTCTCTGTTTTTGCATGCTCAGATACATCAAGTCTGAATTTAACCCCAATGATTCATTTCAGCCATGAGGACTGAACAAATGATGTACTTGTGCCCACAGGAATGTATACAGACACACACACATGCATACCCCACCACACTTCAAGAAAGGAGTGTGGAGCACCTATAGCTAACCTAATTCAATCAGAATCAAGTGACACCTCTTACTTAATTTTTTCTTTCTCTTCCTGCATGAGTTCTTTCCACTTGAAAACACACCAGGCCCCAGGAAACTCACGCACATGGTATGCTTCCATCTTAGGAAGCTTGAGTCAAGTATTTTTCTAAAGTACTTTTTTGGTTATTGAAATCCTAATGGAAAAACCATTATAGTAGCCATTTTGAGACGTGTGAATTACATAAACTGTATATTTTGCCTCTGTTACTAGAAAACAATGAATGGATCTTGGCTTTTATTCCTGTTCCTCTGCATTGTGCATGTTAGGTATTCTGTGGAAATGATCGCTTAAGCCAAAATGTTTGTGAGCATAAACTGTGTCTTTCTTCAGAAGGTATATGGTACTGTATTTTGGTAGACCACGTTATCTCCATGACACCCGTTGCTGTTTCCTAGTCGTGATTTCTTAAAAATTTGTTGAGGGTTGTGTTTTGTTTGGAAATTTTGCAATTAGAAGGAAAATAAGAATTTAAAACCAGTATTTAATTCAAACTGGATGTTTTAAAAAGCAATTTAAAGAATGTGATGGACTGTTTCTTTATTCATTAAATAAAATTTTATTTATTCTCAGTGTAATTATTGGGTTTGTTTTGTTTTGTTTTTTGGTCCCAGACTTTGTATGTGAGATGGGTAGGTTCTTGTTCTCAGTGGTTTGCTTTCAGCTCAGGTATTTTTTTGGATACATTACCAGTTTGAAATAGCAAACCAAATGTCCTGTGTTAATTCAATAAAAACAATTGTGAAAGCTTGTACCCTCTAGTACATTCATGACTAGAGAGGGGAATGGGTAGGTATACATCTAAGAAGATAGGTCATATATTTATGGTCTTATATGCACTTTGAAATTTCTTTCACCCCTAAGTAGCAAAAAGAGTAATCTTTAGTGACACCTAAGCAGGCAGCAGAGTCTAGCCAAATTCAGTCCCAAAATAGCACTTCACTTTTATTATAAGATGGTGTAATTTAAGTGAACTGAGCCTTAATCATTGAATCCTGCAGCTCTATTAACCACAACCCAAACACACTCTATCCAGCTCATATCTAGCAAATATTTTATATTTTTATAGTATAACTAGGAAATTTTAACTAAGAAACTGGCCCCACTGGATGTTCAGAGAGATAGCCTAATCTTTCTTCACATTTGCAAACACAAAGAATGGGAAGTCAATATAATCAGTTTGGGTAATGAGGTCAATGGTGTCATAGTAGATATTGTTTAATTAAGTGATTCTCAACTCTGAAAGCCTGTTAGAGTCACCTGGGGAGCACTTAAAAAATATCTATGCCCAGGCCTCACCACAGAACAATTAAATTAGTTCTTGAGCTGGGATCCCAGGCTTCATATTTGTTTCCCTAAGTGTGATTCTAATGAGCATACAGAGTTGAGAGCCACAGGCTTACATGGCTTTTCCCATCTTGATAGCCCTGTTCATTTGCACACGGTTTTTTAAGGTTTCCAACCCTGGGGTTTGGGGCTTCAACCTCCAGCTAGCACCTAGGGAGAGCCCACATACAGTAACTAGTCCAACTGAAACCCTGCCCAGGGAGAGTCTTCTCTTATTATTAAATGCCCCTCTTAGGAGCTCCTAGGACACATATTATTGGTACTACACTGTTGAAGCATTCAGCTATACTCTGTTTAGGACACCTTATTGATTAATACATGTGTGTATCTTCTCTGCTGCCTACCCAAGGACAAGGATGGTGTTGAGAGAGTCTGGGGACGAGTAGGTACTTGAAAATATTTTTTGATTTATTGAAGAAAGGGGGCTTCAGTAGAAAATACATATATATATATATATATATATATATATATATATATATATATATGACTTCAATATGTCCTGTTCTCAAACTAGAACACGGATTTTCAAAGGTGATCAGTATAGAATACCATAGCAACTTTTAGGCTGCTTGGTAATCTAAAATCTATTATGTATATCTTAACTTCAAAAAAAATTTTACATTTGCTTTATAAAAGCTCCTAATCCATAAACCATGATGGATTTCCCAACATACAGTTTGAGGAGTTTTATCAAAGATTGGATTTGATCACTGAGACTCATTTACATTTCTTGGTAGTATCTTCCAGGAAAAAAAAGTCCATACATCAAGTCAGGTAGAAAGCTTAGGGAATTGTTAATTGCTTCCAGAGATTTTCAAAACACAGAAACAGGCAGCTAAAGGCATAACATTTAACAAACAGATTCCCATTCTTTTGGGGGAGTGGGGATGGAGAAGGAGAGGTATGGGATTAGAATCCCATCATTTTAATTAAATTGTTCACTTTCATTAAGAAACTAGTTAATAACCATAAAAGAAATATTTATTGTTTATTCTGTATAAACCTCTGTACTAAAAGCTGTAGAGAGAAAATGAAAGGTACAGTTCTCTTTTACAAGGTATTTAACAGTCCAGACAAAGGGATGTGAACCCTACCTGAAAAAGGACTAACGATCTTTTTTGAGACCTCTGATTAACACATTTTTGTTTTTGTTTCTAGCACTGATTTTATTCATTCTCAAATTTTACTGGGGTTATTAATGAAGTCTTTTAAGTCTAAATAATTAGACTATTGTGCCCAAATAGTGAGGCAGGCAGATGCCCTAAGCCTTACCATGAGCCCAAGTGCACCCTGCCGAGTGGAGTGTGACCAGAAAGAGGTCCTGGCACCATCACTTCTAAAACTGTGTTGCCTGCTAGACTAGAGTCTTTTAAGAGCTGGTGAGGTCAAGAGGTTAAACATTTTGCTCTCTGATTTGCAGTGGGGAAGCAAAGTCCTCAGTCCTTCTTAGTTTTCTTCTTAACAGATATCAGAAGGAAAATTCAGCATTAATCTCTCACTGGATTCCTAGATACGCTTTGTGACTTTGTAAGTTTAAATTTATAGGCTAAGGAAGACACATTTGTTGCAAACCAAATGGACTGTGATAATTATGGATAACTAAGAAAATAAAAATGTTCATGGAGACTCTCTGTAGTTAAGTTGTAAGTAGATGGTTGTATCTGATGTTTGGTGTTGGAATTTATAAAAAATTAGTTTGGGGGAATGTCGTTGTTTTTTGTTGATTTGTGACAAAATCAAAATGCGAAGATAACTTAGAGTCCTACTTTTTCTAATTATTAGCAAGACATTTTCCCAAATGCATGCAGTGCTGTTGACCACAAAGTCACTCCTTACATTAAGGGTTTGGTTTATTTATCCAATGCTTAAGCAAATTTATAAAAGTAATCCAAACAAATGCCACATGCATTATTTTGCTCCCATCTTGATCAGCCTTCATGGTAGTGAAACTCTTATTACTCAGTTTGTGCTTATTAAAAGGAAATCATTTCAAAAAGCAACATTTTTTTTAATTTCTCTCAGGGTTAGTTCATATATATATATATATATATATATGAACAAATATAGGAACTATATATATATAGTTCTTCTAAGGAATTAATAGTAACTGGCTTAATAAGGAAAATAAAATATTGAGACTATATATCTAGTTACTTAAAAGTTAAATATTATTTCAATTAATAATCATTAAAAACATGAAAAATACATCTATATTTCCAAGTTGACAGAGAAAATTTTCCAATTAATTACTCGTACTCTCATCAGCTTGTCTTTTTTGAGGAAGCATTACAAAGCAACACATTTGCCATTGGTCTGATTAGATCTAAACATTCCACATCTCTGCTCAGGGAAGCACTCAATGTCATCATCCCCAAATAGGCTGTTAGTGCCATCAGGAACTAGCTGGACATCTGGCATGAAAAACAAACCCATGTTTTTATTTATATTTTATAAAATCTCTATTTTAATAATGTATAGTTTTTAAAAATACAGCGCATTCACGCCCATGTACTCTACCAAAAAAAAGTCTGACTACATGCATGCACACACGATGCACTAAGCATAAATGCATTTATACCACAGGAAGGTAGCTCTGTTTTAAGCATGTACAAGTAGCGGATATTGTAACTTCACCAGAACAGGACAAACTTACAAAGTTTAAGGATGTGATTATTTCTCTGAGGACTAAAACTGCAATATATTTCAATTCTATTTTTTTCTTAAGATTGTTTTCCCTCAAAGTAGTCCAGAAAAGGGAGAGGGGAGCATTATTTTCACAGCAATCAAAACCATCCACAAGATCCATCAATGAAATCTACACAATACTGATAAGGGAAAACGAAAGGCAATAAAATCATTGTGTCCATAGAACTGGCGATGCGCATACAAGTAACCTGGAAGTCTGCTAATTTTATTCTAAGAATGCATCTTAAACCACCGAAAGCCCCTGCAGCAACTGGGGAAAAGGTTGCGGCTCCCGAGCTCCATCACTGGGCATCACCCCCGCGAGGTCGCGCGCCCTAACTGGCCATCTGGAAGGGCTCGGGCTGGAAGCCGAAGAGCCTCTGGCCGTAGGGCTCGCTCTCGCCCGGCAGCTTCGCTCCCGCAAACGGGAGGTAGTGGTCGCGGCCGAAGTGCTCACAGTGGAGATTGACCCAGTCCCGCTCTGAGCCAAATCGCTCAGCCTCGGCCAGGATGCGAGTCAGTGCCATGATGTAGCTCAGCGCCATCTGCAGGGTCTCATACTTGGACAGCTTTTTATCCTGGCCCCACTGAGGCACCACCCTGCGCAAGCGGTCGAAGGCGGTGTTGAGACCCTGCATGCGCCGGCGCTCGCGCGCGTTGGCCGCCAGGCGCCTGCGCGCCGCGCTCTCCAGCCGCCCGGCCCCGGCGCACGTGCCCGCGCACTCGGCGCCGCCCGCGCATGGGGGCGCGGCGCGCGCGGCGGCGGCGGGGTTGCCGGGCTTGCAGGACTTCATCTCCCGCCGGAAGGAGGGAGGCGTGGAGTTCACTCGCGGGCTCGGGACCTGCGTGTGTGCCGGTCTGTCGAGCACCTCCCCAGCGTGGCTCTTCTTAGCGAGTAAGTTATACACACAGCAACTCGCGTGGAATCAAAGTTTACAGTGGCAAGTGCGGGCCGCCGCCCTCTGTCCGTCCTACTGGATAATCAGATTGATGTCTCTTCACTTGCCCAAATTGAGGGGAGATTGAGATGCTGGAGAGAAAGTCATTTTCCCAACGTGAAGTTGAAATAGAGAAAGGAACCTACTTGCGGCAGAATTTAGTGTGGCTGGTTGAAGTCCTCTGGGAAAGCCTGGGACTTCTTTTCAGGAAGGTGAACTCTTTCCCGAAGCTCGGATAGGGACGGAGCGCTTTTTCCGCAGTAGCTGTCGGAGAATGCTGGATAAATCTTTGAGGGAGGAGAATTTATAGTAGAGGGCTGAAGGAGGGAACAGGTGGTGGCAGGTGGGCGGGCGTCCCTCGGCTTCCATCTCAGCACCTTCCTACCCTGGGAACTGCAGGGGGGAAGGGGGACGACGCACAGCAAAATCCTGACATTACAGCCTTCGTCTGTTGAAGTTTCTCCAAAGCTATGTCCAACAGTAACACACCATCTGGAGTGGCCTGACTGTCCCCAAAAGAATAACAAGGTGGGGGTGGAGGGAGAACTTGATCTATCTTTTGCCATATCAACGGGCAGCTTGCATATCAAAAACTTAACCGAGGTTTTGAATTTATTAGAAATCATTTTTTGGTCTTGGAATTACGAAATACATCAGTTTAGTAAAAAGACATTTTGCTTTGTCAAGATGTGTGACAGTTTTGGATAATGCTGATCCAATAAGCTGACATTTTAATTTTAGCTGTTAAATAAGTTGGGGCAAATTAGCAGGTCCTAATATTGCAGACCTGGAATTTTAGTGTGCAAATAATTTAGCTGTTTTCTGCAGAATAATTTATTAAAACATATTAAAAGATATGAATGGTATATCAAAAAATTTATATTCGAATTAAATAACTGGATTCCATGAGTTCGGATACTTAGGCAAATTATTTCAGAATTTATACTCCATTTACCCTGACCCAGGTTCATAAATGTTTTGGGGACATATATGAGATGATAATCACTTAATTATTTAATTTGACGTTTAAGTCTAATAAAACTAATCATAAGGCACATACATGTGCAAAATAGGAACATCTAAGTAATTTGTGAGGTTTTTAAAAATAACTCCTAATGGAAAGTTTTTTCCCCCAACCTCATAAAGCTGTAAATATTTCATACTACTTAGATGTTTCAGTTGTGTCAACTGTCCTCAGGAACAATAATGAAGCATGATTTCCACTATTGATAATGATGAGCTGATTTATACAGAGAGCCCATTAGTATGATTCTCTCATCATAGCTTCTTCCTATTATAGCTCTTAAGGAAGAGTAAACTGGCAAAGAAACCAGCTCCAAATAGATTCAAGCCAGAATTATTTCTGGATTCTTCAGGAAGACGAAGTATGCTCTTTTTGAAATATGGGTTATATTAACATTATTCTCAGATATTTTTAGTTACATTACCAATAAACTTTCACAAATCAGGGGTCTTTGTGACTTGCTTCCCCCACCACTGCCTCAGACTGAAACCCCACTGTGACTGCAGTGACTCCAAGTCCAGTCTTCCCATAAATAGTTGATTAATCCCCAGCTGAAGTAATGACAATGAAATGAAGTTGAGTAATGTGAAGACAATAGGATGCAATTGAACATTAATGATCTCCAGCATGACAGATGTTGAACACAGACTTTTGCATGGAGCCACTCAGCTCTGTTACTCTGAATCCTAACAGTCTTGGTTAGGAACAGTAGTCCTGTGATAGGAAAGACTATGTTATTTAGTCATCAAAATGTCACTTTTTTTTTTTGAGATTTTATGGAAATCTGTCCTATAAAGGCTATTATTTCTCATGTTCATTTATCTCATCCTTTTCCCCAAGGAACATCCTCTGTGCTACTCTTTGGAATGTTTCCCTACATACTGTGCACTTGTTCTGGACACTACAGATCAAAGTGCTAATGAGATGCATGATTTTGCAGGCCATGTATTCAGGGTTGATGAGATTATAGCCTGTGCACCAAGAGAATCAAAAGCATAACTTAAAGAGAAAAAGGAAACATAGCAATATGCACACAGCATATCTGTATTAGAACATAAACTATTAGGTATCTATAACATGAAATTGATCCAAGGATAGAGAGGATTGCTGGAATAAAGGGCCTTAGAAGGCATGCAGTAAGACGTTTCCCAAATGTATTCTGAAGGACAGTTTATTAGTACTATAATGATGCTTCTGGAGAAAGATTCCATTGTCAAGTAAGTTTCAGAAACTTCTGTTATCTCCTGCTTGGAGAGTCATGAAGCAAAATTGGTATAGTAGTTTCTGAGGAGTTCTGAAGTAAAGAAGCTGCTGACTCCAGCATTTCCTAGGCCTTGAACACAGAACCCTTTTTTTCCTAGAAAGGCCTGTTAACAAAGTTCCTTGCAACACACTTTTCAAACCTGCTCTAGTACCTCTTATTTTTTTATAGAGGAGGAGCCTAAGATCCAGAGACTAAACACTGTGTTCAAAGGCACTGAGCAATTTAATGACTGAATTAAGACAAGAAGTCAAAGCTCCTGTGTCCTTTGATTTTAGAGGCTTTAAAATTATGACATCACTTAATACAAGCCCCTCAGTTTACAATGGGGCAACTGAAATCCACTAGTGACTCCCCAAAGTCAGATGAATCATTAGTAAAAATTTCAGGAATAGAATTAGAAGTTTTGTGCTTAAAGGACAGTGTCATTTGTTTTATAACCCTAGTATCTTAGCACAGTGTCTAGAAAATAATAAATGGCCCAGACTGGAAATGTCTGGAATGGCTGGAAAATAAATTAATGAGAGATAGATGCTGATCAGAATGAGTGTGTTCCTAGTGAATAACTCATACAAAAGATTTTCACTTGCTCACCTTGTAAAGAACACACACTAGCTTCACTTTTTTTTTTTTAAGATTTTATTGGGGAATTGGGGAAGGGGAACAGACAAGTTGCTGTCCTTTTGTTCTTCAGTCTAGTTGTGGAGGACGTCGCTTCACTGGCCCATGTTGGTATTATGATCATTGTGCTCTTCCCAGGTGAGGCAGATCAGTCACTGGCCTCTGGACGGCCAGCTGCCAGCCACTCACGGTAGCTTATGGCAACCCACACAGCTTCACGGCAGCCTACGCTGTCGCCGGCACCTCATGGCAGCCCAGCTCCAGGCCGAGCTGTTGTTCACCATCTTAGCTGTAGAGGGCTCAGCATCACTGGCCCTCGTGTGGGATCTAAACCGGGGCTCTGCTGCTCAGCGCTGGCGTCCCAAGCCAATTCTTAACCAACGCGCCACTTGCCCGGCCCTAGCTTCACATTTTGAATGCAGAATGGATTCTTTCTTATCAGAAAACATCCATAGGCTGGCCAGATGGCTTAGTTGGTTAGAGCGCGTGCTCTTAACAACAAGGTTGCTGGTTTGACTCCCTCATGGGATGGTGGGTTGCGCTTAGATTGAAAACGGCAAGTGGACTTGGAGCTGAGCTGCACCGTCCACAACTAAGATTGAAGGACAGCAACTTGACTTGAAGCTGATGAGTCCTGGGAAAAACACACTGTTCCCCAATAAAGTATAATAAAAACAAACAAATAAAAACAACAAAAGAAAACCACATCCATAGCCATTTGAGCCGGAAGAACATGAGTGTCAGACTAATTTCCGCAGTGTTCCTATGCTGAGGGCATGATGCTACCAGGTGAACTGGAATTACTCTATGTTCTGGGGTTGGCCAGAAGTCAAAACTGGCAGCTGGAGATGGGAGAGAGAAGGCAGAAGGAACTTCTACCTGTAGGAGTAGGAAAATAGGAGAAATATTATTTTAGAGGTAAAAGACCAATGGCTGGAAATTATTACATAAAATGTGTAGAATAGGTCCAAGGGTAAACATTTCTTTATTATCCAAAACCATATTTAATTTTTAAAACAGAAACTCTCCAAATAAAAACCCAATTAAAGAGAAGAAAACACTCGACAAAAAAATGTCCGCTCTGAAATGTGCAAAGAAAAATATGGAAAATAAGGAGCAGGGCTTCCTTCTGGAGGGGGTGGCAATTGGAGGACTCTGGATCCCTGAAAAACTCAAAGGTAAACCAGCAAAAGACAAAGGAATGATGAAGCTGAGTTCCACTTACATTTCATGAAGGACCAGAAGTGCAAGGTGTTAAAAGTTCTTGTAATGTTATAATGTGCCATATAGTTACAAAGGGAGGCAAAACCCACAAAAGGATTTCTATGTTTAGAGAAGGGAAGGAAGAGGCAAAGTCTTGTACCTCTGTCCCTTGCCCCTCAGAGATCCAGGGAAGAGAAAACCTAAGGGAAGGCAGAAACTAAGAAGGGACAGACTGGGCCAGCCGAGTGGCGCATTGGTTAAGAGCTGGCTTGGGACGCCAGAGGACCCCGGTTCAGATCCCACATATGAGGGCCAGTGACACTGCCCTCTACAGCTAAGATGCTGAACAACAGCTCAACCTGGAGCTGGGCTGCTGTGAGTCACCGGCAACAGTGTAGGCTGCAGCCCCTGCTGCAGTGGGTTGCCATGGGCTACCGTGTGTAGCCAGCAGCCAGCGTGAGCGGCCAGCAAGCCGCCGTGAGCGGCCGTCCAGAAGCCGGCAACTGATCTGCCTCGCCCAGTAAGAGCCCAATGATGGTGCAAACTTGGGCTAGTGAAGCAATGTCCTCCACAATTAGACTGAAGAACAAAAGGACAGCAACTTGTCTATTCCCCTTCCCCCAATTCCCCAATAAAAATCTTAAAAAAAAAAGGGACAGACTAATAATGGAACTAAGAGAAAGAGAATAAACATGGGGGTCATGCCCCAGGCCCCAGAAGTGATCACCTCCAGAAAGGACGGGTTCACCAAAGAGCCCCAGGTGATTCTTCGACCCCCAGTCACATCACACTCATGAGAACTCTGGCTTGGCAGCCTGATTTAACTTCTAGTCACCATGAGCCAGACTGACTGGCATGGTTTGGACTCTGCATTCACTCTTTCCAATAGTGGGCATTACCCTCCTCTTAGTGTCTGGGCTAAATACCATCTTTGAAGTCAGTTTTGAATCCTGGATCTCCTATCAACTAGCTGTGTGCTCTTGCACAAATCACTCCTATTTCTCCATCTGCAAAGTGGACTGGTAGTACCTCTCTCACAGGGCAGTAGTGAGCACTGAAATGAGACTACCTATAAAGGACTCTGCCTGGTCCCTAAGAAAGTCGCTCTTTGATAGCTAATACTACATATTCTGAATAGTTTTT